GATGTCACACACGAGCATTAACACGATAAAAAGCCGAGTTACCCACTTACGAGATAATTATCTCGGCAAAATTATCTCGGCAAATGTGATAATATGTCGACATAATTTAACAGTTATGTCGACATCTTCTCAGATTATGTCGACATATTCTCAGATTATGTCGACATCTTTCAATAATTATGTCGACATACCTAACTCGTAAGTCGCAAGTGGATGGCAGAAATATGCCACCATACCTTAAACCTATTTCAGCAGGTTCGATAGGGTCGGTCTGGAATTTCAACCCGGACTTCTGAACTCTAGATAGGCACTACGATTAATTGAGCTAATTACTGGTTGCCAGCGATCCACCTACTCCAGTTCACCTTACATAAATTTATCCCATAGTCTTTGACTCCGAGGAAATGAACACAAGATCCTTATATGGGTATTGCAACCAGACCAAGATTCAAACCTATGACCCCCAAACTCTTAGACATGACAATATTAACCAAAGGAGCTTCCTGCTCCCTGGTGATTGACCAAGTCCGATGTCGCAACATTGTAAAGCATCAATTCAATTTGAAAGTGATTTTGTCTGTGTTTAAGAAAGCTATCAAGATTTTCATCCTGTAATACACATGTAATGACTGTACATGTTTTTAAAAGAAAGAAAATGAGTACACAGAATTTTGAAAACCAAGAAATTCTCCTGCACTGCAAAATTTGAAGCATTATAAATACAAGTTAACATCATTAATAATAAAATTCGAGAGGAAGCACACCAACACACACTGTCTCCTGCATAAACACAAGCAAGCGCGCATACACTACAGACATGGATGCACGTTCTTAAATGACATTAGCTGTTAATATGAAGTTAAACAAAATTAAACCAAACCAATCGAGAGGAATCAATTGATATAGTGTTCAGTTTAACATCAAGCAAGATCAAATCAGTCCCAATATGTCACACTGTAGGGCAAAAAAATCATAACTTGGAGAGCCTGGTGAAAATGCCACATAAGCTTAAGGTAAAGGTTACAGATAATTATAACATATTATTTTATGTCAATCGAAACCTTGATGGGATGTTTGTGGTTAAATATTGTATGTTTTTAATAAATCTTGCTAAGCATGTACAATTTACAAAGGCTGAGCAAGTTAAAAGCTGAGCAAAATCTGGGTATTATAAATAAGCATAATGTCCTCTGATTGGTTGATGGTTTAAGTTTTCTGCACAACAACCATGACAGAATTTTGATGAAACTTTGTCAATATTTGTATGATAAAAAAAACGAAGACTAAATTTGAATTTTAGCATAATCTGTACATATTTAATTACATCTGGCATCCCTAGTTTCCACAAGCTAATTTGCTTAAATGTCATTCAAATGTTACATGTATCAAACTTTATAATCATGTACAATATACAAAGAGACGGAGGCTAACTTTGAAGTTCAGCCATATATGCATATAATTATTTAGCATACTTGTATTATGTCCAGATTATTTTGGAACTTGGCCAATATTTCATATTATAGAAAGACAAAGGCTGAGTTAAAGTTGAGCAAATTCTATGCATAATTAATTATCATACTCTTGATACATTGGTTAAATGTGACTGGATATTGATAATAAGTGGACTCTGTTTAGACCAATCATTAGAGGAACCATATCATTTGGGTGGAATGTAGAGAGTTCCGGATTGTATAGGGTTTCGGTTTGTAGAGAATCTGCTTCAACATTATTTCTGAATTCTTGTTAAGAATACAATCAATGCGATATAACCATTCCCTCCCAAATGTGTGAATCAGGTGTGTAATAATTTACCTGTATCAGCCTAATGTGTTACAACATAACTTGTATCAGCCCTGTGACATCACAGCCTGTATAAGACTGGTTAAACATCCAGATTTTAATCTGTATTCTAGTTTATATCGCGCCTGATTCCAAAACAAGTACGTGGTCTGCTAATGGAGACAAAGTTTTTAGACACTTGCAAACAGAATAATTAAGCTAGATGATCACTTAACAGAAAAAAAACTTCAGGGAAAACATATACCAATTTCATTGTGGACCAGAAAAAAAAATGCAAAAACAAGAAAAAAAAGTAAGCGATAGAAAACGTATAGCCAACTGGTTATCTACACAAATTGAAAACATATAGATTGAAATAATTTCTCCCTCACAACTAGAAAATGATCTTGTCCATCAGGAACGCAGAGCACAAACATTTTGTTTTCACAGGGAAGAAATATTTCTTTTACATAATAAATTCTGATTTATTCAGTAGATGTAAATCAAAATCTATATTTATCATATACAAAATTGTACTTGTTAAAAATACAATGAATTTTATTA